TGGATCTCAGCGGCAACCGCCTGGGCCGGGCAGGCGCGGAGCTGCTGTGCCGGGGACTGCGGCACCCTGGCTGCAGGCTGCAGACGCTGCAGTGAGTCTCAGTGGGAGACAATTAGGAATACCGATTTAGGGGCCCAGGCCTGTGACCCCGCTGCTCAGGAGGGGAGGCTGAGGCAGGAGGATTGCAGGTCAGAGCCCAGCCTGGATAATGTAATAATAAGACTGTCTGAAAATAGCAGGGATGTAGCTCAGCACTCCCTGGGGTGGATCCTCAGCACTGTTAAAAATATATATATATTTTTGTTTTTGTTTTTTTTGGTACCGGGGATTGAACTCAGGTCCTTGCGCTTGCAAGGCAGGCCACCGAACCGCTGAGCTAAATCCCCAGCATTAAAAAGATCTTAGAAGGAAGAAAAGGCTCTGATTATGGGGTTCCTTTTCCTACAGTGCCACCTGCATCTCATTCGTCCACCTGCTCAGCCCAAGAAACAGCTCAGTCCCAGCCATCCTGAGAAGCTTTGTCCCTGGGCGCAGGGTGGGGTGTTAATCAGCAGTAGGTGCCAGACTGCCACAGCCTCGGGCCCCGTAGCCGTCTATCTCCCACCAGTGGGGGTGGGAGCTGCCCGCCTCATTCCTCTTATTTGAGACAGTCTTGCTATGCAGCCCAGGCTGGCTGCAAACTTTCGGTATCCTGTGCCTCAGCCTCCCTGAGTGCTGGGGTCATAGGTTCAGCCGAGCAAATGCTGTGCCATTTTCCATGAGGGAGTCAGTGCTGGGGTGCAGGTGCCCTTGGGGTGTCCTGGATCCAGTCCCGGGGACCTAGGGGGAAGTGGGACCGGGACCGGAGGAGCCCTGTGCTGCAGCCCCTGCTCTGCCCGCAGGCTGAGGAAGTGCGGGCTGGAGGCTGGAGCCTGCGGGCTGATCGCTGAGGTGCTGGGCAACAGCGGGCACCTGGAGGAGCTGGACCTGACGGGGAACGCCCTGCAGGATGCGGGGCTGCAGCTGCTGTGCCAGGGGCTGGGGCGTCCCCACTGCAGGCTGCGCACCTTGTGGTGAGTGGGGGTCACCACTGGTCTAGCTGGGGGGGTGGCGCACAATCGGCTAATTCAGCAGGGTGGGCGTGCGTGCATACCTGTAATCCAGCTCTCTCTGGAGGCTGAGGCAGGAGGGTGGCTGAGCTCCAGGCCAGCTTGAGTGATATAGTGAGACCCTGTCTGAGAGGCTGCTCCCCTGGTCACTTCCGGAGAGGCTGAGCCGATGGCTTCTTCTCTTTTCCCTGCTCCACTGACACCGTTAGCAGTGAAGATTCTTCTAACTACACGAGGCAGGCCTGCCAGGAGCGGTCAGGGCAGCCTGGGCTACATTTTAAAAAATGTTTAAATTAAAAATCCTTATACTTAAACCGGGCATGGTGGCGCACGCCTGTAATCCCAGCACTCGGGAGGCTGAGGCAGGAGGATCACTGTGAGTTCAAGACAGCCTGGGCTACATAGTGAGTTCCAGGTCAGTCTCAATTACATAGTGAGACCCTGTCTCAAAAAAAACAAAAAAAGGGGCCGGGATTTAGCTCAGTGGTTCCGGTGCCTGCTTTGTACGCGCAGGGACCCAAGGTGATCCCTGGTACCCAAAGACAAAAAACAAACAAACAAAAAGGGGCGGGGAGCCCACCTCCTTCCCCTCAGGATGAATAGTGCTCACTGATATTCTGGATGCACAGCCAGGCGTCTCCTCGGCCCATTTCCGCTCCAGAAATCCCTAGTACCTGACAGGTTTCCCCTCGGACCCCATTTACTCAGTGTTCCTGGGTGGCTGTGCCTGTGATCGTGGTGGTGGTCGTGGTCTTGTCCCGTCTCATGAGTTCCTGTTGTGCCTATGGCTTTGCCCCACCTTGACCCCCCACACCTTGTGGCTTTGTCCCACCTTGAAGAACCAGGTGAGCGAGTGACCCACTTTCCAGTCGCCCTTCTGTCTCCCTTAGAAGCTGTCTTTCTCTCAAAAAATTTTTCCTACTCTTAACCTCTGTTGCTCCAAGAATCCATTCTTTGATTTTGGAAAATGTGAACTCATAGGGCCGGGGATTTAGCTCAGTGGTTCCACTGCCTATTTCACAAGGGCAAGGACCCGAGTTCGATCCCTGGTACAAAAAAAGAAAAAGAAAAAGAAAACATAAACTCCCGATGCAGCCCTCTAGCAGGTTGGGAGTTACATTTCCTGAGTTTGGATTATTTCTGTTGTTTGGATTACTTGATGCCCTGTATCAATCCCAGCTACACAGGAGGCTGAGGCAGGACAACCACAAGTTTAAGCCCAGCTTGGGAAACTTAGCAAGATCCTGACTCAAAATAAAAAATAAAAAGGGTTGGGGATGTAGCCTATGGGACTAGGTTCAGTCCCCAGCCATATAAAGAAAAATCTTTGTCCTGTGCATCTCAAATCCTGTCCCCTGGCAGGAAGCTGGGCCTACTGTCCCACAGCAGTCAGCCTTTGAGCTGTGCTTGGTTCCCCCAACACACGGCTGATCATTCATGGGTGGGGAGGAAGGCAAGGACGTACACACGAAGACCACAAAAATGATTTTCTATAACCCAGGCTGTCCTGGAATGCACAGTGATCCTCCTGCCTCGGCCTCCCAGATGCTGGGATTACAGGTGTGAACCACCAGCCCTGGCTGGGGAAACACTCCAGAGCCAGCTGTAGGTTCGGGGTGTATATCCAGAGGTGGGATTTCTGGAGCCCATGGGAAATCGCGTTCATGCAGGGGTGGGGGTGGAACCCATGCCTCAGGTGGATGCTCTACTCTGAGCCTCATTTCTGGTCTTCAAACAAAGAATGCAATGCCCCGGTTTCCATAGCAACCACCACTTCCCACTCTAACCCACAGTGGCAGTCACCTTTTGTTCTTGTTCTTTGCATTGAACCCAAGGCCTTGGCACTGAGCTCCATCTCCGGCCCTTTTATTATTTTAAAATTTATTTTTATTTTCATTTTTTTTGGTACCAGGGATTGAACTCAGGTGGGCTTGTGTGGCAGGCGGCAGAACCACTGAGCCAAATCCCCAGCCCTAAAGTGTGCATTTTGAGATAGCGTGTCATGTAGTCACTCAGTGGCCCAGGTTGAGTTCAAACTTGCAATCCTCCTGCCTCAGCCTCCCACAGTGCTGGGCTTACAGGTGTGCACCACTGAGCCTGGCAGATAGTGGCTCATCACAGTGGAGCCTGAAGACCAGCACTTCCAAAAGAAATGCGTCTCGGAGGCTGAGGCAAGGGGATCGCCATGCGTTCGAGGAGCCTGAGCTACACACACAGCAAGACCTTGTCTCCAAAACCCCGTAATGAATTAAAACGACGGAGGCTAAATCTGCCCCAGGTGTAAACCCTCTGCGGCTGGGCTGGTTTTCCACAGGCTGAAGATTTGTCACCTCACCGCTGTCTCCTGTGAAGACCTGGCCTCAGCTCTGAGTGTGAACCGGAGCCTGACAGAGCTGGACCTGGGCCTCAATGACCTGGGGGACCCTGGGGTGCTGCAACTGTGTGAGGGCCTCAAGCAACCCCAGTGCAAACTGCAGACGCTTCGGTGAGTCTGGCAGTATCCCTGGTACCCAAGGCGCAGCCACCATCTTTGCTGTCTGTGTGCTGAGGCTGTCTGTCACAGGACCTTGGCATATGCCACCCTTGCTTCCTTGCATGTCCTTTAAAATTAAAAATTAAAAATAATAATTAATAAAATTAAAAATTAAAAATAATTTTGAGGCAAGGTCTCACTGTGCAGTTCAGGCTGGCCTTGAACTCATGGTGATCCTCCTGTCTCAGCCTGCTGAGTGCTGGGATTACAGGCATGTGCCACCGCCCCACCCCAGTTTGAAGTGGTGCTTTTAAATTACTTGGAAAAAAAAAATAAATTACTTGGAAAAAAAAATAAATTACTTGGGGGCAGGGAATTTAGCTCAATGGTTCTGCCGCCTGCCTTGCAAGGGCAGGGACTTGAGTTCAATCCCCAGCACCAAAATAAATAAATAAATAAATACATAAATACTCTGTACCTCGAGGGGAATTTTCTCTTCCAGATTCATATGTTCAAGTCCCAAGCCCCGTCTCTCAGCATGCGAGTTTATCTGGAAGCAGTCTGGATTAGCGTCTTAGAGCGTCCAGCACAGAACACCGCCCAGGGCCGTAGGGGCAGGGACGCCCATCTCCCGGGCTGGGTCTCGCGAAGTCACTCGGTTGCCCAGGCTGGGCTTGAACTCATGTTCCTCCTGCCTCAGCCTCCCAGTGCATCACCTCTCTGTCCCGCAGGCTGGGCATCTGTCGCCTGGGACCAGCCGCCTGCACGGCGCTGTCCCTGGTGCTGCAGGCCGGGCGCCTTGGGGAGCTGGACCTCAGCTTCAACGACCTAGGCGACGCAGGCGCGGCCCTGCTGAGCAAGGGGCTACAGCACCCCGAGAGCCGGCTGCGCAAGCTGTGGTGAGTGGGCCGGGCCTCACTCCGGGCAGGGACCCCGAGCGGCAGGGGTCCTGTCCAGTGCTGCCCTGGGCTAACTTCCTGTAAAAGCCTCCTCTTCCGTGGGCACCGACTGGGGTGTGTAGCCCGGGCAGGCCTGACTCGTGGTGACCCTCCTGCCTCAGCCTCCCCTGTTCTGGGACTAGAGATACATAGCACTGTGCTGGCTTCTTCCTGGCCTGGCTCCCCTGGACACCCCACCCTTTCCCTCCGCAGGCTGGAGGGCTGTGGCCTCATGGGTGGAGCCTGCCAGGATCTGTCGTTTGCGCTGGGCTGTGCCCCGGCCCTCGTCGAGCTCTACCTGACCAACAATGCCCTGGGGGATGCAGGTGTGCGGCTGCTGTGCAGGAGGCTGACAGGCCAGCTGCAGGCTGCGTGTGCTCTGGTGAGGCTTTGGCCTAGGGGATGGGGAGCCTGGGTGCACATCTGAGCAGAGACAGCACTCAGCCATTCCTGAGTTAACTTTTTTTTTGTACTGGGGATCAAACTTGGGATCGTGTGCTTGCGAGGCAGGTGAAGGAACCACTGAGCTAAATCCCTGGCCATTGTTTTGGCTTCTTGAGACAGGCCAGGGCCTCAGACGGCCTCCTGCAGCATGAGGGCTACTGAGTGGAAATTCTATCACTGACAACTTGGTGACATTCAGGTTTTTCAACCTCTTCACTTTAGCTTTCTGTGCCTGTAGAATGAGGAAAGGTGTTTCTACAGGAAATGATTAACCTGTGTGCCCAGACCAAGGTCTGTAAGCCCAGCGCTCCGGAGGCTGAGGCAGGACAAGCACAAATTTGAGCCCAGCCTGGGCTACACAGTGAGTTCCAGGGCAGTCTGAACTCTTAAAAGCACCAAAACAGAAAATGTACAGTAAAAGAAAAAAAAAATCACTGTACAAAAGGGCTAGGGGCAGAGCTCAGTCAAAGGTCCTGGGATCAGTCCCCAATGTCACAGAACAGTGTTAGCGATCTGAGGGGTGCAGGGGCACAGCCTGAGGCCCCATCCTGTATGCAGGTTGTTTGGCGTGGAGCTGAGCAAATCCTCTCACCAGAGGCTGGCGGCGCTGCGGGCAGCGAAGCCCTCGCTGGACCTGGGTTGCTGATGGCCCCAAAGGGCGAGACTCCCCCAGTGGGGACCCCAACATGACACTGGGCCAGGATCTGGGGGAATCTGTGTGAGCTTGGGGGGCACTATATATACATAACCCCCAAAGGACCTGTAGGGAAGGCTGAGGCAGGATGCTCACTGCCAATTCCAGGCCAGCTGGAACGGTCTGAATAAAACCCAAAACCTGACATTGTGCCTGTATTAGAAAAAGTCCCACCCGCAGAGTCCTAGGGGCCAAGGCCGCCATGACCATCCACCCAGAGCCCAGCTTGCAAAGCACCAGGGACCCGGACGCGGCCACGAGGCGGGTTGTGGTGACCCCTGGAGACCACAGCGCCACCTCCCGGGGCAGGAATGGAGCCGGGGAATCCCTGAAGGAAGCCGGAGCCCACCGGGACGCCACAGGGCCTGGGCGGGGCCTCCAGTCCTAGGGGCCAAGGCCGCCATGACCATCCACCCAGAGCCCAGCTTGCAAAGCACCAGGGACCCGGACGCGGCCACGAGGCGGGTTGTGGTGACCCCTGGAGACCACAGCGCCACCTCCCGGGGCAGGAATGGAGCCGGGGAATCCCTGAAGGAAGCCGGAGCCCACCGGGACGCCACAGGGCCTGGGCGGGGCCTCCGGCCTCC